GGACCTAATCACTCTACAGGGAGCTCCTTGAGGGAAGACAGGGGACCTCCTTACAGAATCTTTCTAGCTCCTCCTTCCAAATATCTTTCCAGTCAATGCTTAAAGCCCTACCGTTAGAGATATATTCTTGTGTATTTATCTCCCTTCCTTTTAAGTAGTTTTTTTTTTTCCATTATAAATGTTCAACATGCTTATAGTAAGACATTTTAAAAATAAAACATGTTTTACCCACATTCTGATCCCTCAAGACACTCATTGTTGATATTTGGGTATCTTTTTCTGCCATCTTTTTTCCTTGTTTTTAAGCATAGCTGAGAGTCTCCTGTGGGGGGGAGTTTGTAGTCCACTCTCTCCCCTTACCTTCAGTCCTACTTCTGTTTACTGTTCCAGAAACATTGAGGTCCTAACCACTCACTCATTGAGTTCTGTGTCCTTAAGGAAGTTCCTCATCTTTGTGGACTTTAGGGTTCTCATCTGTAGAATGAGCACAGTGGTGGCCATTATGCTATCTCACCAGTAACCAACTGCCATTGAGTCAATTCTAACTCATGGACTCATGCATGTCAGAGGGTTTTCAAAGGCTGATTTTTTCTGCAGTACATTGATAGACCTTTCTTTTGAGGTAATTTTGGCTAGACTGAATTGTGGATCTCTTGTTGGTCGTTGAACATGTTAATTGTTTGCACCACTCAGGGCTAGTGAGAGTGTTTAATACAAGTGCAGTTCAAAGTGTGGTGTTAGCACCAGAGGGAGTGATCAGATGGACGGTCATGTTGAGGCCACAGCAAAGACCATAGGGAGGGAGAGGGGAGTAAACCCACACTAGTCCTGCCTGGGCCTCTCGGGAGCACCCGAACCTCAGGGTCCATGGGCAGCGCACTGCTGCCTTCCCTCGGGGCTGCTGGGGGATCCCTGACCTACTTCCTGTCAGGTCCAGACTCTATATCCATCCTCTGTAGCCAGGAGGGTGATTAGGGGGAGATATTCAGCCTGGAATTCCTCATTTCCGCTCACTTGTGGCCTCAGGATTTTCTGAGGGAAGGCTTGGCTTGTCTGGGCTCTGCTGGGACTGGAAGTCTTAGGGGACATGGGGTCAAAGATGGACAGTTGCTGAGGGTGGCCTGTCTGGACTGGGGAGAGAGGCCTGGAACTGCAATTGATGTAGTCAGTGAAAGTCTTTATTTCAGCCACACATTCTGACCTCCAGAGAGAGAGAAAGAGAGAGAGTGTGTGTGTGTATGTGTGTGTGTGTGTGTTAGAGGTGGGAGGGGAGCCGTCATCCTCACGCAGAGGCTGCCTTGGGCTTCATGGAGACAGGTAGCTGCATGTGGCTGTCTAAGAATGCTTCTTTCGCATGCCTGTGTGAACGTGCGGGTCCACGAGCAGCTGTGGATCTGCCTAAGAATTCAGACATACATGGAGGAAGGGGGAGTCTGTGTGCCACCGAATGCCTGGGCTTGTGTTGTGTTGCAGAATGTCAACGTGTTTGTGTGTGTGCGTGTCTGGGAATGGGAGGGGGCTTCTTTGAGCATACACTATGTTGGTGTAACAGTATATTTCTTCAGCACCCCCAAAAGCCCACAGACCAAGATAAGAAGCTGGTAATAACGCATGTTTCCTTAGCACCTAGTATGTGCTGGGCCTTGTACCAGGCTCTGGAGACACAGAGAGATGTAAATGTCAAGCCCCAGCCCTGAGGAGCTCACAGGGCAGGGAGGGGAAGTGGGAGGGACACAAACAACAATGACACAAGTCTAAAGTCCCAAAGGCCACCTTCCATGTGTTTCTTCAGGGATCCACAATACTACAGTTGGAATGACCTGGTTTCACCATCATATCCCCATCCAGACTATGAGCCCCTCAAGGGTCCGAACTTGGGATGTACCTGATGCTCCATAGTGGCGATGTATAATACAAAGTCACCTGTGGGCCAGGCTGTGACTGGGAAGGCCCTCAGCACGTAGCCTCTAACAGCCAGGCTAATCAGGAGCTAGGGCTCACAGCTTAGCTCTGGAGTTTGGGCTGGAGTTGAACTCAACACCTCCTTTACTCCTTACAGCTGGATCACCCCACTAATTTCTTCAGCTCGTCAAGCCTCAGTGTCTTCATCTGTACCATGAAGATAACGCTTGCCCCCACCTCCCAATGATGGTAAAGCTTCAGTGAGAGCATGTGCCAGTTCTGGCACATACACACAGAGCTTGGTACCCGGGAATTACTTTTGGAATTCTTGTTATCGGCAATAAGGAGCTGCCTCATGGGCACTTGTATGAGGCCCTGTTGACGAAGAAGGTGGAAGCAAAATTCGGAGCCTCTACCGGCAAGCTGGGAATCACCCCACCAGGCAGAGACCTGTCATGTTTCTAACATCAGAAGGAAGGAGACCAAGCAGAGGGAAGATTTTCATGACTGGGCCAGTGGGTACTCAAGGAAACCCATCTGAATATTTTCTGTGTGTTTCTCACTGTTCATCACCTGATGGTTTCCATTGAATGGTCCGTGCTACTTGCTTCAACTTCATCACAGGCTTTACAACCATTCGATGTCAGTATGTTACATTCATGAAATGTATGTATGTGCTGCCCCTGCCACCCACTTCCTCCAGGCATGTGTGTACATGTGTCTAGTGTGTGCTTATGGGCACAAGGAGAGGAGGACAGCCCACTCTCCTCATGCATCCACACTCAGGTGCCCACTGGATGTAGCTGAGGCCTGATGGAAGCACTCACCCACCCAGTACCCATCTCTTCCTCCTGGTTTGAACCTGGGTCCAAGGTCTTGCCAGGAGTATACTGGCGCCAGAGCGGATCATAAGTCCATTGACCACTGACGATGCCACATCTGGTGGCTTGAAGTCAGTCAGGTTGTCGTTGTTCAGTGCTGTCATGTCAGTCCGACTCATAGCGACCTGTGTAGAGTTTCCGAGGAGCAGCTGGTGAGTTCAAACTGCCGACCTTGCGGTCTAGTGCTTATCCTACAGTGCCACACCAGAACTCCATAGAGGGGGGATTTATAGCACAGTCATAAGAAAATGATACAAGTCAGACCCTTTCCTCAGCACCAGTTGTAAACATTTCCCAGCACACTACTGGTCTGGACTCAGTTCTGACAGCCAGCTGCTACCAGGCATCTGCTGAGCAATTGGCCTCACTCATCTGAATAAGGATCATGAGATGGGATGGTTATCATCAATCTTTCTGGGTCAGAACCGACTCAACTGCACGTCACAACAACATCTCCTATCTGTTATTGTTGAGGGACCTCTGGTAGCATAGTGGTTAAGAATTGGACTGCAAACCTCACAGTCAGCAGTTCAAAACTACCAGCTGTTCCGCAGGAGAAAAATGAGGCTTTCTGCTCCCGTAAAGATTTATAGCCTTGGAAACCCTGTACAGGGTCGCTCTGAGTCAGAACCGATTCCATGGCACATCACAATAACAACAAATGTTGGGTACCGTCAAGTCAAGTTGATTTTGACTCCTAGTGACCCTGTGACAGAGTGGAACTGCACTCACTATCAGGGTGATAATTCTAGGCTGTGATCTTTACAGAAACAGATCGTCAGTCTTTCTACTGAGGAGCTGCTTGATGGATTTGAACCTCCAACCTTTCAGTTAGTTGCTGAACTCTTGACCATTGTGCCACCAAGGTTCCTTTATATCTAGGGTTCACTAACTCACATGATTTGACTCCAGGTCTATGCTCACTGCCATGTGACTTCAATAAATGGAACCACTGTGGTGGATAGGGATGGCAGAGTTGTTAAAGATCAGGCCTAACATCAGACTTGGCATCCTCCCATCACATGAGCCCACCCCGATCACACTGTATCCACAGTAAAGACAAGGTCACTGTCACTTGATGTTCTACGTGCACGGCTGATTTGGGGGAAAGTGGCACTCATTGCAAACAATACTTTGTTTTGCCTGATTCGATCCTGTTGTGGAGTCTATCATTTGGGTCACATGTGGAAGTAACTCTCCCTCCTAGAATAGTGCTACCCACTGCCTTGACCACCACGCCTTCAGGTGGTGGTGGTAGTGTGCCTTCAGGTGGTGGTGGTAGTGTGCCGTGGAGAGCATAAGGTTTCCGATGCTATAAAAATCTTTACGGAAGGAGGAAGCCTACTCTTTCTCCCGTGGAACGACTGGTAGTTTCAAACTGCTGACCTGAGTTTAAACTTAGTTTAGCAGCCCAATTCATAACAACTATGCTACCATGAGCAGACCGAACTTGGTGAGCGGACACTAGAGATGCCCAGCTTATTTGCTGAGGTCAGGCATCTACACTTTCAAAAGCATTTCTGCCCCGCTGGGACTCTGCCTGCCCCATTGCCTTTTCCCCAGGAATACCGCAGGCCTTGCATGGGGCTCTAGGTAGCCAGGTTGCTTTAGGCACCTTCCAAACAAACCCCTATGGAAATAAGGCGCCCTTTTCTCCCTCCCCTCTGGTTGATGCATTTTCACGACTTTCATGGCCTGGTAAAACAGGGCCCACCTCCCCATCCCAGCATTTGTCGACTATTTCCCGCGCTCCTAGAGCCCTGGAGCTGGGCCGCCGCATTGGTCTTCCAGAGAGCCAGCAGCAAAGCTGCTTCTCCGCAGACTCTAAGCGCGTTTCCCGTTCTAAGCCCCGAGCCCTGCACCTCGGGGAGAGACTCCTACGCGTCGCTCTATCCTGCCCTAGAGAAGCAGAAACTCCCGTCTCCGCCCCATCCCCCAACGCCCGCCTCTCAGACCCGGGGGCTTCTACTTTAGTCGCCGCGTCCCCTGGTGGGCGCGGCGCCAGGTGAGCTCTCACCTGGGGCCGGTGGGCGGGAGGGGTTGGGGGCGGGGCAAGACGGAGGCCCCTCCTGCGGGACTAGCGGGGCCAATGGGGTTGGGGGCTCGTCGCCAGCGGGAGTTTGCTCTTGCAGCCGCGCCCTCCCAGTACCGCCCCGCTCCGCCCCGCCCCCACCCTGGGTTTAAAGGCTGGCGAGCTGTTGGTGGCGGCGCTGCGAGCCGAGCGGCGCGAGGAGATGCGAGAGGGGCCGCGCCGCCGGCACCATGCGCCCCCTACCCGCGCCGGCCCTAGCCGCGCTCTGCCTGCTGGCGCTGCCCGCCGCCGCCGCCTACTTCGGGTCAGTGCGCACCGGTCCCCAGCCCATGACCCGCCCATCTCCCATTCCTCTGGCTGCCGCGGGCCAACTTTGCCCGCCAGGTTGCCCTGGGTCCCGGGAGATCTCGAACTTGAACCTCAGCCCTGAACGGGCGAGACCCAACCACACCTCGTGGTGTCAGTCCGCGTCCGGAGCGCTGTCTCCGGTTTCCCGGCTCAGACCCCAATCGCACCTTCTCGTGTCGCGTCCGAGTTTCTAGTCCCCTGTCCGCAACCTCCACCTGATCTCAGACTCGGGCCAAACTCCCGAACCCTGTACCATGGCTGAGTTTGCCTCAGCGCGCCCTGGCCCTGCCTGCCAAGGGCACTGATGCCCTCCCCCGATTCTCAACTGGGTGTCCTATCTACCCCATCCAGGGCTCCCTCCAGCCACCACGTGTGGCCCAGACTCCCCACCGCTCTGCCTTCGCACTGCAGAGCCGTGACCTGGACGCGGGAGTGGGATGGGGTGGGATGGAGGGGCGGCCCATCCAAGAAGTATGGTGGGGGGACCCGGCGGTCTGTGGGGAGTGTCAGCCGAGCACGTCCACGGGGAAACCTGCCCAAATTTTCAGAACAGGCTGTTAGGTGAATTCCCAGAAGAATGACAAAGAGAGAGATAGGACCAGGGATGAGGGTACAGGATTGGAAAAGATCAGAATTAGGGTGACGCCTGGGGGGCAAGAATAGAATGGGACCCATGAGGGGAATATTTGGAGCAAAAGTCAACAGGGCAATTGTTTTGGAATCTCTCGTTTCTGACCCTGAGTTGCAGGACTTTGGGGTGGGGGTGGGGTGAAGGGTGACTCCTGGACGCAAAAGAACTTTCCTGCCCTTTACCCAAAGCCTGTACAGGGTCGCTATGAGTCGGAACCGACTCCATGGCACATAACCACCACCACCACCACCCAAAGCCTGCTGTACATATGTACAATCTGATACTTTAAACCTTCATGCTATTTGTGAGCCGTCCCTCCAAATCAAGATGGGGTTTGCAATCTGAGCGCATGCAGTGCAGGCTAGCAAGTCACCTGCCAGAGGCTGCACTAAGGGCTGTGGGCTGATTTCCAGGTTGTGACCCTGCGTCTTAGCTGTGGGCAATGGATTCCCTGAATAAATGGGGCGGGAAGTGAAAGGGGAGAGTGGGTATCAGCTCAGATCCCAGCTCTGGATTCAGCTTGCTGGTGACTTGTGAAGACCACACTGGCTCTGGGACTTGTTTCGGAGGAGCAGCTGGTGAGCTTGAACCGCCAATCTTGCAGTTCAAATGGCTTTGCAGTCTGGCTCATTAACCCACAGCGCCACACCGGGACTCCGTCTCTGGGCCTTAGTTTTCCCTTTTGTATATAGTTGTTGTTATTGTTAAGTGCCGTCGAGTCGGTTCCGACCCACAGCGACCCTGTACAGGGTTTCCGAGGCTGTAAATCCTTATGGGAGTAGAAAGCCTCATCTTTCTCCCGCGGAACGGCTGGTAGTTTCGAACCGCTTACTTTCAGGTTCGCAGCCCGATTCGTAACCACTACGCTACCAGAGCTCCTTGTATATAGAAGGGGTTGAAATTGATATGAATGAACCTCTAAGGATCCACTCAAAGAGCTATATGTTTGTTTCCTGTCATTTCAAGTTTAAAGGAGTTAGTGCTGCTTTAGCAAGCAGGATATAATGATTAGGGTGCGGCTCTAGATTCAAACCCCAACTTTACTACTTGTTAGTTGTGTAACCTTGGTCAAGTCACTTAATCTGTGTTTCCATTTCTTCTTTATAAAATGAGGGCGCTAGTGCCTATTTTGGAGACCTGGTGTGGCGCTGTGGGTTAATGCGCTGGACTGCAAAGCCATTAGAACTGCAATATTGGTGGTTCAAGCTCACCAGCCACTCCACAGAAACCCTATACAGGGTTGCTATGGGTCAGAATCAACAACAAAGTATCTATTTTGGATTCCTGGTGTGCTGTAGGTTCAACACTGGCCTGTAAACCACAGAGTAAGCAGTTCAAACCCACCAGCCGCTCCTCAGAAACCCTCTACAGGGTCACTATGAGTCAGAACCGACTCAACGGCACTTAACAACAACAGTAACAGTGCCTATTTTATTGGGTGTGGCACTGTAGGATAAATACTGGACTAGTAACCACAAGGTTCGTGGTTCAAATCCACTAGGCGCTCTCAAAAATCCTTTACAGACAGTATCACTATGAGTCAGAACTGACTGGAAAGCACACAGTAACCACAAATTATGAGAATTTTGTTAGTGTATGTAGCACAGTGTGTGACACATGCTCAGCTAATGCTGCTGATGTTGTTGTTAAGTGCCATCGAGTCGGTTCTGACTCATAGAGACCCTGTACAGGGTTTCAGAGAAGCGACTGGTGGGTTTGAACCACTGACCAGTGCTTATCCTATAGCACCACACCAGGACTCCCAGCTAATGCTTGTTGTCGTTGTTGTTGTTATGTGCCGTGGAGTCGGTTCCGACTCATAGCGACCCTGTACAGGGTTTCCGAGGCTGTAAATCTTTATGGGAGCAGAAAGCCTCATCTTTAGTGATGATTAATATTACTAAGGACACCAGGTCCAGTACCTTGATATTCCAGCCCTGACAGAGATTTCTGAGCTGGAGCTTAATTCTTATTGATGATGATAATAATGTAATTGATTCCTTGCTGCATACAACTCACCTTCTTAATACAGCCATGTCCCTCTTGTGAGTCCCCAGAGCCATTCCTGAAGTACATATGATGGGTGTAAATAGTTCCTACAAGGAAACTGAAGTCAGAAAGGTCCAGTGATTCAATCCATGTCACACAGCAAGTTAATGGGGGATGCAGAATAGAACCCAGGCCTTCCTCCCTTAGCTTGGGCTCTTCCTCCTACAGGGAACAGCCTCCACAGATAATATCAAGTGCTCACCCAAGGAAGCAGCAGCTTCAAAGGAGTGTTGTGGAGGGGGACTGGAGGGCAGCTGAAGAGTGACCTTCTTCCCTAGCTTGCTTAACTCTTTCAGACCCCAAGGGGCCCTTTGGGCTGTAGCAGCGGGCAGAAGATGCAAAATTCTCTTCGGTTCTCTGCAGTGGGACAGGATGCACAGAGCTCTGCTGGGGCATCAGCAGTTGACAGTGGGGTGGGAGCTGAACCAGATGTCAGGGGCCTGAGTTTGTCCCAGTTCCAAAATGTGCTCTATGTTGTCATTAACCAAGTCACTTGCCTTCAGAAGGCTTATCTCTTCACCAACCTGGCTTCAGATGTTTAGGATTACCTGGGAGCTCATATTTTAGCTTGATGGCTTGGGAATTCTGCAAATACTCATTTCTGTGGTGTTTTAAAATAGATACGAGCTGTATTATATGACAAAATAGACATATAACAGGCCCTGGTCAACGGATGTCTCAAAGTCTTGAAGTCACCCCAATGATTTTATAACTAGAAATACCCCCTGTGGATGCAACTTTTAAAATCATAGCTGATTTTGTGGTGCTTTTGAAACATAAACCTTTGCACTGGTTAGGCTACTTTACTCCCTGAGATAGTTCTTTACGATCAGTACAGGGAAATTTATGAAAGTATAGGCTTTTGAGTCAGCTCGATCTGGGTTTGGATCCTGGCTCTGCCTGTTACTTGCTGTGTGGCCTTGGACAAATGGCTTACTCTTGCTGGATTTTGCATAGTAATATAAATCTTAAAGCCTGCTGTAAGGCTTAGTTGAGACAACAAATGAAAGGGTCTGCTTGTTGTTGTTGTTGGGTGCCATTGAGTCGGTACTGACTCAGCAATCCTATACACAACAGAATGAAACATTGTCCAGTCCTGGGCCAACGTCACAATTGTTGCCACGCTTGAGCCCATTGATGCTGCCACTTTGCCAATCCATCTTGCTGGGGGTCTTCCTCTTTTTGTCTGACCCTCCACCTTACCAAACATGATGTCCTTCTCCAGCAACTAGTCCCTCCTGACAATATGTCCAAAGTGTGAGAGACGAATTTAGCCATCCTGGCCTCCAAGGAGCACTCTAGCTGCACTTCTTCCAATACAGATCTGTTTGTTCTTTTGGCAGTCCATGGCACTTTCAATATTTTCCTTCAACACCATAACTCAAAAGCATCCATTCTTCTATGGTCTTCCTTAGTCACTGTCCAGTTTTTGCATGCATATGAGGTTATTGAAAACACCATGGCTTGGGTCAGGCACACCTTATTCCTCAAGCTGACATCTTTGCTCTTCAACACTTTAAAAAGATCTTGTGCAGCAGATTTGCCTAATGTAATGCATAGTTTGATTTCTTGACTGCTGCTTCCGTGAGTGTTGATAGTTGATAGTGCTCAGT